TGAAATTTTATAGATATAAAATATACATATTGGAGCACCTGATGAAGAAATCCTCCATTCAACTTGCCCCAATAACCTATGAATTAGCCATCACATTTATAATAGTCCCACTGTGAATGCTTTAGTTAAAAAATGTAAACCTTGCAGACACTGATATACCCTGAGACCTAGGTTTTATAAACTGAGTAGGAATACTGCAATTTCAAAACAGAGCATGTAGAAAGACAAGGTAAGTGTGACTTTCCCTTTAGGCCCTCTCAGAAGTAAGGAGAACACTTACCGAGTCCAGTGAGGGAAGCCAGTGCACTGGACTGTGCCAGCTGTTTTGCAGGAGCTTTGTATCACATCAACAACAGGAACAACATGTTAACACAAATAGCCACGATTTCATAGTCATGAGAGTCTACGGGGCATTGTTAAATCTACCACTATTGCTGCTTTTTGGGGGAGAGAAGAAACATTAAAAACATAACATTCATTTTAAACCAGTATCATGTCTGGCTTTGAAATCATAATTATGATGTGAGCTGAAATTGTTTATGAGGAAAAATGTTGACTAGTATATCTGTATTTCTGCTTCTGAGATATGGCATATAATTTTTGTTTCAATGTTTTTAAAGTGTTTCTAAAATCATGCGGGAGGGCTGGAAATTACTTGCTTCTGTAAGAATTTTGACTCTGAAAACCCTGAAGATTCATAATTCAAAATTCATTGTCAAATAAACCGTATTAGAAGTCAGAAACCAATACCAATACCATGGCATGTATTAAAAAAAAATTAGGAGAAATAAATTAAACATCAGGAATTTTCTACAATACACTCTACAAGACAATACCATGATTGCTAATCTGTACTCTCAGGTAGTTCAGATAAAAGTATCTGTGTTGTTTTAATATAGTGTCTACAAATCTAATCTTTCCCAAAAAGTTAAACATGCAAGAAGAGAATGTTTAATACTGATAGTAATTCAGAGGACAACAAAAAAGTCCAAAATAGTCATTGAAACCAAAATTCCCCCAGAAAAGCAAAACCAAGAACACCCACAATATACCTTTTGTTGCTTTCCGATGTGTGTCTTTGGCTATATAATAAATTTCTTCATCTGTGACATCCAGAAGAATTTCAGTCAGAAGCATTTTTGTCAGCAACATCTAAGGAGGAAGACTTTGTGTACTGTTTCTAATTTAACTACTAATTTAGTTACTAATATGGTTTGATGCAAAGCCATCTTCTAAAACATTCTGAAATCAGAATCAGCCAATCAAAGGAAGAGTATCTTAAAAATTATTCTAAAACATCAAAACTTAAAAAAAATTCACAATCAGGGCTCAAAGGAAAAAAAATTAGTCTGTCCATGCAGACACTAAATTTTTATTTTAGAACAAAATGTAAAAAATTTATTTAATAAAGAAATTCTATAGGTGTAAGTAGCTTGTCACTTAATATGTGTAAGCAATACTAGTTTAAGTCACTTTTGAAAGGTTAAAAAGGAGTGAAAAAAACAAGAAAAGGACAAAGATAATCCATTCTTCCAGATGAAGTCCTTTTATTCTTGACTACTATAATAAACTTGTGAGCAATAACAGCATCCTTAAAAGTAGAAGTTAATATAAAATGGAGAATATACTAGATTTGAAATAAGAGCTGGATTCCTCTGGCTTGGCTACCAACAATTGTTTGAAATGCAGACTCCTAGGCCTTTAGTTTCTCTGTGCCAACTGCTCATCTATTAAAATGAGGTACACAGAATTAGTATCTAAAGATCGCTACTCTTTCAATCTGGAAAACATACATTACATTCCTAATTTCATGAAGTGAAAATATAATTTATAGATAATAAAGGCTTTAAGAATACTTACAATGAAAAAATATTTTGTGTTCAATGCTAGTGCTTCCTAAACTTACAGTGTTATAGTGATACCTGAGTTCTCTCCATGATTTGGGTTGTAAACCCAACTGGACAAGAACCAAATCAAATTTCCCTATAAGGACAACACTGAACCTAACCACTGAATTTGATTCAGTTCTTGCCCAACATCAACTAGATTTGTGGAAAGAATCAAGTTCGTGACCAAGGTACCAGGTTCAATGTTGACCTTATGGGGAAATCTGATTCAGTTCTCATCCAATTTAGTTTGCGACCAGAACCACGGAGAGAATCAAGTTCATGAACCAAGGTACCACTGTATTTTTCTTTAAGTTCTTTTAATCTTTCTCAGTATTTCCACTTTAAAATAAAAATTTTAAAAACAGATCAATAAGTTCTCTTGGGCCTCATACAGTAAAACTTTAATTCCATCACTGCTGTTAAGAAATGGGCTTAATAATTACTCATAGGCTGTGACTTCGTATTAAATATTAAGTAGATTTTTCTGGGGGAGGATGTTGCTGGGGACACTATCTGAATTTTATATAGACATACTTTGCCTAACAAATCTACATGTGAATAAATATAATTGTTTCAGATTTCTCAGTTTAAATATTTCAGATAATCAATCAATAGTTTAAAAAATTACAACCACCAGGTGTAATGGCACATGCCTGTAATCCTAGCACTCAGGAGGCTGAGGCAGGAGGATCATTCTGAGTTGGAAGCCAGCCTGGGATACATAGTGGGTTCAACCCCAGCTTGAACTACATAGGGAGACCCTGTCTCAAACAAACAAACAAACTAACTAAATTACTGCCTACAACAGAAACTTCACATCCTACCATTTGATACTCCTTCTCTTCTTCAGTCATCTCTGGTTCACTCTGCTCTTCCTGAGGAACTGGAGATGGACTTCTGGTGACTTTTCCACTGCTTGCAGCCTCAATGTTTTCAGGATCTTCATCTTCTTCATCACTATCCTATAAAAATAGGACAGCTCAAATTTATGCTTGGAATATAAAATCCCTACTGAATTATCAAAATTTTAAAAGCTCAAATTAAAGTTGACAAAACAAAAACATAGTAAGTGAAACTGCTGTCAAAATTACATTTTGTCCTGGTCTTTCATTTTTTGGTGCTGGGGATTGAACCCAGGGACTCATGGATATTAAACACATGCTCTATCAATAAGCTATACTTCTAGCCCCTCTAAATTAATTTATTTATTACAGATTTCATTTGATAATTTTAAAGTGTAACCTGGGAAGAAATGTAATATTACAAAAGGACTTAAGAAAAATCAATTATTTACTTTCCTCTTCTCCTTTGTCAATTTTGACCTATTTTGTAAATAACTAGAAAAACATCAAACCCAGAGAGATTTAATTAACAGCCATTATACATGATGGTCCTGAAATGAGTGGCTTGTAGAATTTTAGAAAAACGGACCAGACACATTATTCAATGTAACTTTTACAGCTATAAATAAGCTACTTACCTAAAACCATGTGACATAATATGAAAAATCTCTGGTCAGTTCCAAGACCTCAGACTGCCCTGGAACTTAGTTCTTTTTAGTTACATAATGGACAGATAAAAAATAAGATCTACCTCAGACTGAGCAAATACCTCTGTCTTTGTATAGTTTTAGGGTTCAATATGGATATATCCTAAAAATAGGACCCTTCATTAGTCAAACATGTGTCCCCTAGTCACTGAGAAATCCTAAGAAAATGGCCTTGAGAGAAAGATCCACTTCCTTCCTATGCTGCATTCTTACCTGTGATGTGGCTACTGCACCAGCTGGAAGGAAGCCCATTATTGATGAACAGATAAACTCCTAAACTACTCATGCCACCTAACTGATGAATGAAGAGTTAAAACACTTAAAACACTTACTTTATTGCTCATGGCAAAAATTATTACATTCTCAGGTGTTAAGTATACATTCAAATACTCAAAAAAGTCATCTTTATTTCTCTATTATCATTTAATATAATTTTGCTTTATATAATCCACCAAGAGGGAGTCAGTTGCAACACAGAAAATATGAATTTGTCTATAAAGGTAACACCTATCCAAAATCTCACAGAAGGGGATCTCCACCCTCAACACACACACACAAAAACTTAAGTCCCAATACACTTACTACAAGTTAACTCAGGAATATTAATATTTTTCTGTCGGCTAAAATGTCTATTTCAATAAACTTCACACAGAGTTTCATAACAGAAGACTCTACTTACAAATTTACTTCTCTGAGGTAAACGAGGGCCATCACCTCCTTCAGCATCTTCTGTGGCCTTCTTTTCTTTTTTGGACAATTGTGAACGTTGTTGTTCCATCCTTTCTTTCTCTAATTTCTTTTGCTTTTCACGTTCCATTTTTTCAAGACCTTCACGAATCCAAGCTGGAAGAGTCCTGCGTTTTACTGCATCTGTTTCATACAAGAAAAAAAATCAGTTCCTTATTCCTGATTCTCTCCAAATTTTTTGAGTAAAAACAAAAACAGACAATATTTATTAAACATTGTGCTTTTTAAAAAATGATCCCTTCTGACAAAAGCAGGGAATATGTGCTAATGCTTAATCTGCCAGGACACAATAAAACAACATTCAACTGTCACATTATTTAATCTTTACAAAAGTCTTCAAAAATCACTACTGTTATTGGAAATCTTTTGCAGGTGAGGAAATGGACACTCAAACAGGTAAAGCTATGTGCCCAAGATTAAAAAGCCAACAGAGAGTGATGTGAGCCAATTCAAAGCCAAATTCTTATTAAAAAAAAACAAACAAAAAACTACTTATAATAAAAACAGAACAAAGTCAAACAAAGCACAACTCTGTTTTCACACTATATTCATTCAGTAGATTTTTTAAAAAGCGGTAAGTCAGAATATTCCTAAAATGTAAAAAGGAAAAACTTCATGTAGAAAGGAAAGACTGGGCATGGTGGCATACACTGGTAATGCCAGCCCCTGAAAGGCTAAGGCAGAACTGGAGGCCAACCTAGGGCACACAGTGAGTTCAAGGCCAGCCTGAAATATACAGAAAGAACTTGTCTCATCAAAACAAACAAGCAAACTCCCAAATAGCAGCAACAACAAACATCTACCAAAAAACAAAATTAAAAAAGACTTAAATTTTTTAGTCCACCAGATGATTAGGAACTTTCTAGACAAAGTAGCACATATATGTAACTTGCTACTGGCAGAAAGCTAAGCTTTCTTATTAAAATTTTCTGGCCAAATACTTATGAAAAGGAAATAATCAAAGGAAAACTAATCTAGCAACAGTGTCAAAGAGTAACTGAAAGCAGGAGAGATGCAGACAAAAAACATTTAGGCTTTAAAATGGAGAAGTATTGACTTCTAATGTATCACAGGCATTAGAACAATTTTTAAGAAAATAAAACATCCTTTTTATAGTGATAAATCATGCCAACACGGTTCACCAAACTTAAATAGCTACCAATTTGAGGAGGCTCCTGCTTCACAGGAAGGGCAATAGGTGACCGCTGTCGATCCCGGAATGACGATGGCCTTTCTCTTCGATTCTGGGGAGGCGCTGGAGGTCCTGGAGGTCCTGGTTGCCAATAAGGAGGATGAAATCCACCTTGCGGTGGACCAAAAGCAGCCCCATGCTGAAAGAGTATTGCATTTTATTTTTCTTCAATTTGATACAATATACTCTCTGGGACACACGTGTGTTATGAACTGGGACAGTAGAAATCCATGCGTGCAGGAAATCCAAGAATTCCATGGTTCTAATATGCACGTGTATTTCTGTGGCCCCAAGAACCTAGGCTTGCTTAAGGCAGATTTTTTGCTTGTGTGAAGTGCAAAGAGCCTTCTAAAAGCCAGCTAATACACTATTTTCAAGAAATAAGGAAAAGACTACATGCATGTGTATAAATACATGTATACACATATACACATCTGTATGTGTGTATATATTATATATGAATAAACTCTTTCATTGTGAATCTATAAACTATCCCTACTACCACCAAAACATCAGATAAATATTTTTTCTTTAAGAATTTTTTATTTTTGGTTCTTTGAGACACAGTCTCAGTTCTGTAGTTCAGGCTCGCCATGAACTCCTGGTGATCCTCCTGCCTCAGTTTCCCAAGTGCTGGGATTACAGACATGTGCCACCATGCCCAGCTAAGAATTTTTTGTTGTTGATTGCAACTTCCTATCTCTAGTGAACTCAAATTGTTTTTATATTTTTGCATGATATATTAATATACAAAGAAAGTTATAGAAATATTATAAAAATTTTGCTATTTTCAGAGGCTTTTTTCAGGCCAGTTGCCCAAGGAAAACTAGGGCAAGTAGAAGTACCCTATCATTTCTTTTATTTCTTCATAAATGAAATAAAAACTGTTATATATATTCCAAGTGTGAGTACATAAGTATGTGAATATGTATTAAACTAAAGGATTACTATCTCAAGATGAATATATTATCAAATCTCCCTGAGAATTAGTGAAATAATACATGGGACATTTCAAAATGTTTAATTTTGATAGTTCAATTTATAAAACAACAATTGCATTCAGGTATTTCAAAATGACACTTAATTCTGTAATTTTAGGGTAGATCCTTATAGAGTGGATTAAAAGCCCCACATTTTACCACTATTCTCCATAGAGTTCTATGTCCCTAGGAATGGACTGGATGTTACAAAGGAAATCATGTACAATTCCATTAACATGCCATGTCAGAATGGAAAAAATAACAATAGAAGAAGTCATAATTCTACAGGAGGAATTGTAGTTAGAAAGATGACCCATGTTCATGTGTTTTTTTCATGTCTTAACCCTAATCTATTATTGATGATGTATTCAACTAATGTGTTTTCTAAACTTTACTTAACATTTAATCTATTGTTTTGAAATTAGAAAATACAGCATCATATAGCTTTTGCACTTACACACTTTTCATTCTATCCAGAAATTTTCCTAATGAACCTTTTATACCATTTTCCTAGTCACATAAAAAACTGATGATTTCAATGCTCAAAAATTGTTAAATTGTTCTGCAAGCCTGTATGTGGTTATCTGTACAACTCTGAAAAGTAAAACACACATCTTAGGTATTCTTGATGAGACACTTCCAAAGAATGGATTACGTGCACATCTACGGTATTAAAGTAACAAAATATCTTTCACCTGATAGTCAAACTGGTTCACTGGCCCCACTGCAAAATTATCGGGTGGTCCACCAAAGTTGTGATTGTTCTGGTTAAATATATGCCTGTTGTCAGGGGCAAATTCCCCACTGTCCTGACTGTTGCTGTCTTCAGAAGGAGGAACAATGTCCACTGGGCCTGGTGTTGGTGGTATCCATGGCTGATCTGGAGGGGGGTGTGGGGGTTGCTGATGCATTCCCCATTCTATTTAGGATTCAGGCATAAAAACATTCAACAGGGGGTTATAATAAAATCAACACAAACTTCAAGATCTCAAGTAAGTTGTATTTTTCAGAAAAGAATTATGTTAAAAAACAACTTATGACTTCTTGATCAAATTCCTTATATATCTTTTTGTTTGTTTTGTTTTGTTTTGTTTTTGGTACCGGGGATCAAACTAGGGTCCTTGCGCTTATGCAGGAGGCGGTGAAACCACTGAGCTAAATCCCCGGCCCCTTATATATCTTAAAAAATAAGCAATTAACTAAAGTATCTTACAAATAATTCAAAGGCGTTAATACCACTGTAATTTACACCCTAAATAAACAAAAAAAAATAATGCCCAACATTATTTTTAATGAATATAACAAAATCCAAAACAACTTTTTTGTTGTATTTTTCTATTTTTGCTCAATAATAACACCACAAAAACAATACCTCAAAACTTTATATAAATCCCTTATTCCATGAACACATTTATCCTCACAACATCCCTGTGAGGTAGGGAAAAACCAAGTATTAATTTTGCTGATTTTAGGAGAAGAAACTAAGGCACACAAAGGTTTAATAACTTGTCAGGATCACAAACAGTAGAGGGGGGATGGGTTTGGGGGTGGGATGTCAGGGTAAGTCACATATAAACTTGAATTTTGGGAACTAAAATATCTTCAAACTTTGGGAAATTTGGCTTTCAAGAAAGAACTACCTCACAGTATCCAAGACTGGAATATTTGTCATTCTTTTAAAGTGATGTTTGGGAGTTCCTTCCTGTATTTTCCATTCTTACAGTAATATTAAAAAAAAATACTAATAGGAAAAGGGAGCATGACTTCACCAACAGCATACCCAAATGTGAAATTCCTTCATAATTCCAAGTGCTTATTAAAAATAGTAACAAAAGTCATAGAAAACTAAATTAGCACGAAGGAATCTCAATCATACTGTGATATAAAAAAACAAAAACAGACAAAAACTTATGGAAGATCTTCACTATCTCAAAAAAAGGGTAGAAAAAGGTGGGTAGATAATAAGAGCAGAGTATATCTGACAGACTTGTCACATAGGGACACAATTTTCCTTTAACTAGAGGCTACACATATTTTACTCTGCCAGTGCTGCTTCTGAAAAGGCCAGAGGTTGCAAGAGAGAAAAACAACACTTTCTTCCCTAAATGCCAAGTGAAGTTTCCAGTGTTCCCAGCCCCTGTCAGCCTAGGAATGAAGAACCAAGAAAAGAAACTGAGTGCCACAATGCTAGCAAACAGCACAGAGTAAGTTAACAACAAAATGTCACGGTCAGATCGAGACTGCCTACTCTTTACTGAACATTAAATTTCAAGAAGTCATAAAACAAGCAAATTAAATAACTCACTATTAATCATTTTATTTTAAAAACCACCCTAAAATTTAGAAAACATAAACAACAAACCTGGTTGCCACATTCTGTTAAAGTTTGAATCTCCTTGAAAATTCCCATGATTGTTAGGCCCAGATTCCATTGTAGACATATCTTGTCCATTTGGCATCATCCCTGGTGGTTGTTCTACTATGCTTTGCTGTCCTGAAGCCTCTCTCTGGGCAATCCAAGCTTGAGCCAATGCAGCCCAGTCAATCTGGCCTAATGTAAATTAACAAAGAATGTAGCATTCAGAATGTAGGAGCTCAAAGAATAGTACTTCTGGGTAAAACAAGCATGTTAGTTATTTTTTAGTTATCCCTGAAAGGATGTTTAGAAAATAATCCATATTTTTTTCTTTCTCTACTTTCCTTTCCCCTACACCCCCCCACTTTCCCTTCCCCTTTGAACCTTTTCTTCCTATTTCACAAGAACCAAGATATATCATGTACAGGTACAAATTCCCAATGATGAATGTGATCATAACATATACCTAACATGTACCAATAAAGGGGGGGGAATATAATCCAAATTCAGGCAACAATGTAACCCATTTCTAATATTAACTCATAGATAATTTATTCCCTACATCTTAGTTTACTGAATTTTTAAAGTCACCTCCCTTTTTAAATCACCATAAAAATAATTAAACTCAATCATATTCTTTCCAGGACTACCTTTGAGCTTACAGAACTTGAACTGGTGTAGCCCTATCTCTGTTCCTCATCATGGCTGCCCTTCTTTGAGGCTCCTTTTTCCAACCAAAACATGTTTCCTTAACAACTTTTCCGCCATTCTTTTCTCAAAAGTCACTGTCCCACTGTTTTGAAGGTCTTCCATTTTTCCTCTCCAGACATCTCTAACATTTTAAGATCTAAGTCATTAATTGTTGGGCCAGGGACTTAGCTCAGTGGTTCCGGCGCCTGCCTCGCAAGCACAAGGTCCTGAGTTCAATCCCTGGTACCAAAAGTCAGTAATTGTTTAATTAATTTTAAATAATTTAATTTCTTTAAATTAACTGTTTAAATAGAGTAAAATACATTTTATTCACATCTCAGTTTAAGAAAGATTAAACAGACATTCTCATACTTTCATGAAATATAAAAGCTGGCATAACACAGATGGGAGTTAAACCTGACAATGTGTATAGAAATGTTCCCAATCTGCAACTGTGACCTAGCAAACCTAGCTCGTGTTAAGAAAACAATTGACAAATGAATAATGATATGTATACAAAGAGTAAAAATCAAATATCCAAAAGCGGGTTTGTTAAAGTGTAGTAAAGACTTGCTATGTAACTACTTTTAAAAAGAAATGACATTAGATTACTCAGTAAAAACAGAGCAGTGTAAGTGATCATACTGTCTGTGAGTTAAATGCTAATACAATAAATGAGAGCTCCCTATAATCTTTCCTTCTACCTTTGTCCATATTTGAAATACTGCACAGTAAAAAGAAATCTTAAAAGTGATGTAGTACAGTACACAGGTTTAAACTAACTGTAAGACTCAGAATTAACAACAGAGGTATTGGGCGGGGGGATTTAGCTCAGTGGTGCCGCTGCCTGCCTCCTAAGCCCAAGGTCCGGAGTTTAATCCCTGGTACCAAAAAAAAAAACCCCAAAATTGAAGTATGCTCCACTTAACAAATTTTATACTTTCTCTAAGTTTTAAAAATGTAAAATCTTCATAAAGCTTTCTGTCCTTTGAGGAAGTCTTCCAAATAAACTTCTTCTTATACAAGCTATGTATGGCAAGGCTATTTAAGGAAAAGATTACACTCAGACGATACAGTGACTTGATGTACCAACCCTAATTCCATCATCTATCTCCTACCCATCTCAAATCCCCACTGCCCACCCTCTTCCAAATTCAGTTTCCTTACTTGGATCCTGCTGGTGCTGGAATGACTGCATCCATTGTTGTTGGTTCAAGGGCCACTGCTGCCAAGGCTGTCCTCCTTGATCCCACATCTTTTCTTTAAAAATATATTGATTTTCTATCTTTAATAAATTAAACAGTTTAAAAATTACAGTGCATTTTTTTTAATTTTTCAAACTCACCTATCAGAAATTATTATATGATGATATATTAATGTGATGAGAGCTCTAAAATTCTGGCCAATAGGTTACCAAAAGCAACTACAATTTTTAGCTTGGCAAGTAAGAGAAAATTTTACATTAATGCTGATGTTGTAGATTTTTTCCTTTAAAGACAAATGGCTTCTCCAAACTTCCTCAGGCCTAGCATATAAACTGCCACCCCCACCTCTCCTTAAACCCAGTAAATGGTCAGTATATGCAGATGCTGGCACCAAGAGGTCAAAGTCCAGTTTCATTTCCACTGGAAAGGGTGGAAGGGGTCTGGGTCTAGGATGGTATGAAACAAGCCTTAATACTGTATATCTACTGTCTCCCTGTATTCCCTCCCCGTACTGTTCCTAAAACACCTGTACTTGGTGAGATGGTGATTTGTGTGATGAGGCCCCTCCATCCCCTCAGAGCTACTTTTGAACAAATCCTCTTTCCTTTGTACCAAATAAATTTCCTTGGGTCAGCCGCAAGCAAATAAATTTGATTGTACGTACTAAGTGGCCAATAACAATGCCAGAGTTTGGTGGCAACTATAGTTCAAATCAATTTAGCTATAAATCTAAAAATCTAATTATTTTGAAGATCCATTAAAAAAAGTGATTTATTCTCTCCCAACCATGACTCCTTTAAAAAAACAACTAAACTGCTCTAGCTGACGAAGAAAAGTTCTTCCCTGGGAGTACAGTGGTACTTTGGTGCATGAACACTTTGGTTCACAAACAAGTGTTTGGCAAAATTGTGTTTTTGTTTGCAAACTCTCCATTGGGTAAGGAACACAACCATGGCCATCTTTCCCAGAATTATGAAATGAATTCAGTTCATGACTCAAGAGTACCATTGTAATTACAGCTAATAAATGCAAAAGGTAAAACCAACTTAGAAAACAGCCATATTGACAAACCTAGCAATTGATTTAGAAAACCTTAGAAGAAAAGTTGATAATTAGAAATTCAAAGGTTTCCAAAATATATCTTGTGATTATGTGATATCTGTAAGATTCATTATTATGTTCCCAGTACCACTATGAATATTCTCACCAAAAATGTTTTGCTGAATCCAACTGAGCTTCCAATGTAAAACAATGAGGGTAAAGGAACATGGTAAGTAACCTTAGAAGAAATAACCAGACAAAGCCAGAAAGGGAGACAGTCTTCAAGAGCTAGTTTCCTTAACATGTTAAATAGCATGAAAAAGAAGGGGAGGAAGGTACTAGTCTACTTCTCTGTAAACAAGTCTGAAAACTTTTTTAAAAGAAAAGTTTAAAATTCCCCCAAGTCTAATACCTTCATACTTACACAACACTGATATATAACCCTGTTGATGAGCCAATGACACACATGGTACGTTTCTTCTTTTTCAGCAGGACTGGGGACTGAATTCAGTGCCTTCACACTGAGCTACATCCCCAGCCCTTTAAAATTTTGAGAAAGGGTATCATTAAATCACTAACTTGCCCAGATTTGGCTCAACTTTCAATTCTCCTGCCTGTTTAGCTCTTCTTTATTTCTGTATCCCAAGGCTTAACATACAGCATTCAATAAATGTTTATTAATGCTAGATTGGCCCTTTCCTCTATCCTAAAAAACAAGACAAAAAGCAAGCCTTAGTATTACAAATTCACAAAAAGTGAGAAAGCCAGATAAAGAAGAAAGTAAAGACATGAACTCTAATGGACCGCTGGCTATTGGTATTCAGATATTTAAGTTTGCAACTCAGTCTTTGAAGCATTCTTTGAATATCAGACAGTGCCAGATCTGGATTTCTCTACTGAAGAACACTGAATTAGGGGAAGTTGTGTTTCTTTGTTACCCTAATTTACTTATAAGTCAAATGTACTTATCTTTTCATTGCACTAAGATAGTCTATTACAAGAGCTTCACTAGAATATGGCAAAACAGACACAATATTGCCCCATAAGTGTGGTCAATAGCTGGAACTGGGTATCAGTTCCAAGCTAAATATGCTTCTTTTACTAATCATTCTTCAGTGTTTCTTCTTCCCTTCTCCTATTTCCCAACTACAACTTTTAAAAACCTCTAAAACTAAAAGAGTCCCTGAAAAATAGCTTCAATTATAATTTTAGTATATGTGCTGCCGAAGCGAGCACACTTCAATTATAATTTTAATTAACACCGATAGGGAAATAAATGAATGAACAGAAAACATCAAGAAATACCAACTGCTGTTTTCACTGACCTCAGAGGCTCACCTTCTGTTTAAAATTTAGGTTGATTCACACTACAGCTTGAAAGCATAACAGCAAGAAGAGTTATGCCCTAAAGGAGAGAAAAAAAAGTGTTTGGTCATAGATTATAAAGATGAGAATAAATTTTAAAAACGCAACATGAAAATGTGATCATCTCCAGATAAACATGTAAGTTTACTTTCTATCAACTTTATTATGGGTAATTATTTTACCACTATAAAGGTTAAGGGAAAGAGATATAGCAGAAATGAAATGGCAAATATTTTTAGCATTGTTTTTTAAATTTTCAAAATACTTATTTGGAAAATTCATTCAAATACAAAACAGTGCCACACAATTTAGAAAGTGAGAAAAAAGGAACATACATTTGAAAAGATTGCACTTGCCTACTATTAATTGAAATGGTATAAATAAGGTAGTAATATACATTAAGTCAGATTTTTCCAAGGAATTCTGTTTAGAAATCAGCATTAGGAGGCCAGGAGCGGTGATGCACACCTATAATCCCAGCACCTGGGAGGTTGAGGCAGGATAATTGCAGGTTGAGGCCAGCCTAGGCTACACAGTGAGTTCATGGCCAGTCTGAACTACATAGTGAGACCCCTGTCTGAGAAAAACCAAAAAGAAAAAAAAAAAAATTAACATTAGGAGACAATTTTCTTTCCTTTAGATCAAGTTTCTTAAAGCTGACAGACCTGATACATTTTATCTCTCTGTATCTTCCATAAGGTACAGAGTAACATCTACATCACAGGCACTAAATAAATAACTGAGTGGTCACTAGCTCCTTCTGTTTTACTTTTAAAGGTAAAAGAAAACGAAGCTGTTGACCTAGACTTAGGAGAACGGATGAGCTGGTCTAAACACAGCTTTGCCATGTTTTCCAAACTTTTCACAGCTTATCAACAATTCAGTGCATGGATTTTTCTCTTTAAGCTCTATACAGTGCCAACTGGAGTTGCAAACAGTGAAACTATTTTAAACAATGAAATAATGTGTACTGGGAGTCATGTGATGTAACTGGGTGACCCGGAGGGGGTTTTCCACGTTTCCAGGCCTCTGGAACTCAAAATGTTGTGGGGATCAGGAGAGCTCCATGAGGGGAGGGGGAAGGAGCACAAGGGGGGATAGGATGGGGGTGGGCCAGGGGATGGGCCGCAGCGTGCTGACCCATTGGGCTTCCAAAGGCCAGGAGAAGGCTGGGGATTTAGTTCAGTGGTGCTGCCACCTGCCTTGGAAGCACAAGGTCCCGAGTTCAATCCCTAGTACCAAAAAAAAAAAAAAAAAAAACCCAAAAAACAAAAACCCAAAGGCCAAGAGAGGAGCTGGAAAAAAGTGAATAAAACCCTCAAATTGTGTCTCACACACACACACACACACACACACACAGAGTGTACTAACTGTATCATCATTTCCAATACATAAGTTTATGTTTTCAGAAACCATTAGTTTCTTTTTCTAACTCATTTCATTGTTGTCATGGACAGCTTTTTCAGTTCTCCTTTTAAATTCTCTGGTATTCATTTGTCACCTTGACTTCAGAGCAAAAGCTCTGGTTCCTACCTAACTCCTTTACTAGCTGCGTAAACATGGCCAAATTACTCTCCAATCCTTAAGTTACTACCTGTAAAAATAGTGTCCACCTCAGAGTTACTGTGAGAAACACAAAAACTCAGCACAAGCAGCTCCAATTACCAGTGGTTAATATATTACCAGCGCTTACTCAATACCTTTTCTAGTAGCACTGAGTTTACAACTACGAGGAAGTTTAAAGAGGAAGGGAATGGGCATGTAGCTCAGTGGTATAAAGCCTAAGAGGCCCTGCTTCTATCCCCAGCACCATCACCCAAAACAGGTGGATAAAGCCAACCCAGTTCTTCTCCAGAACTTGCCCAGATTTCATTTTAGTATTGGAAGGATTCCTTAGTTTAAATTTGTCCTCCTGTCCCTACTTCTCATACATCACAGGTTTAAGCTTTTACTGTCTATTATTTTTAAAAGTCAGGCTTGGTGGTACATGCCTATCATGGCAGATACTAGGGAGGCTGAGGAAGAGGGAGCAAGTGCAAGTTCAATACCAGCTTGGGCAATTTAATGACTCTTCATGTATTCCTATGCACAGCAGTTTTATTTGCATATCTTCAAGAGTGTTACCAATAAAATTAATTTTTAAAAGTTTGATTTGTATTACTTAGAGCCATTTTCTATATATTTAAATAAACACTTATTAACTATAGCTATTTTCTAAACCTTTTCTTTCCCAAGAAACAAAAGTTCCATAAACTTTCCCAAGTTTATGGAAGCTACTATTCAAGTATAGTGTTTGGTACATGTGAGAAAAATATAGAAAAAGATGTGAAATTATAAGAAGCAGAGAATTTAAAAAACAGCAAAGAACATGACAGTAAAAGTCAAAGAAGACATTAGGAGGTATTAAAATGTTTTAAGTAAGTCTGGAGTTAAGAAACTTGATATGTGGCCTGGGGATTTAGCTCAGTGGTGCTGCTGCCTGTGTAGCAAGCGCAAGGTCCTGAGTTCGATCCCCGGTAACAACAACAACAAAAAGAAACAAACAAACAAACTTGATGTGGCTACTAAGTATGACCACTGGCTGAGGGTGTAGATGGAACATCAAAGGGTTAGTCTTTCAGAAGACAATTTAGCATTACCTTAT